CAGAATGGGTTGAAAACCATAGGGGTTAGCTTATGCTTGCTGAAGCTCCTCCAAAGAGGGCTCTGGAAGCGATCGCCCAACTCAATCTTCAATCATCGTACCCATAGCATCCTATCACTGGCAGGCTAGGCATCTCGAAGTAATCGTGGGTAGGGATACTGCGAGAATTCCAACATAGCTTGTCAAGCCGACCCTTGAAGCCTCAACCCGGAGCTTGCAGAATCAGCAGAGTTCTACATAGAGCATGACCTCCACCCAAGTTGTGGATAGCTTCAGACGACCATTGGAAGTCTACCTATGCTGGTTCTTGCAAAACCCTCATCCCGAAGCTACGGCCCCAGCACCAGTTGAACCCTCCTCAGTGCAGCTGTAACGCGTCCACGCTTTGCATCCTTGGTTTGCTCCAATCATGCCCCCCGTTCAAGCATTTCCCTTTTTCCTTTACCTCCCTGCCTCCCTTTTTGATAGCTGCACCAGGAAGATGGCAGAACAGTAAGTGTTGCGCGAGAAAACTGTCACAGGCTTGATCATTGCAATGAGGAAATCAACACACAAGACGTAAGAGCCCCCGCCACCGACAACGTCGTAACAAGAATCTCGGTTATCTTGGCCATGGTATTTGTACTACATAGCCGTTGCTACAGTGATCGACGGCCATGAACCACACCCGCGTCACCACTGTGACAACTGCACCTCCACACCTCCACCAACGGATGCTAAGAGTCCAAGGCGTGTTTGGCAAAGCGTCTTCCAGCTTTTGGTTGGGGAAGGCCTTCTTGCTCCGAAGGACTGCTGATAAGAAACCCACACCTAACCCAAAAGAACCAAACTCAAACTTGTAGGAGGAAAAAATCCCCTGATCCATCTGCATGGAGGGATGAGGCCGACTCAGCTCGACTTTTCAGCTTTCTTGAATCCCGACACTCAAGCTGACTCCTGGACTTGCAAGCGGGAGCTTAGAAAGTGTAGGAGTACGTCTAGGGAGCCTGGGGGTAAATGCATATTTTTAAAAGGACATGGGGCTCCCCAATGCAAACTGCATAAGGAACATTAGAGACTCGCTAAATCCCTCAATGCCTCACGCTGCATCCTGGGATACCAAATCTTTGCTGTGTTCCACTCACCTCGTGCGTGCACACTTCAAAACTAACCTGTAGCCCCCACAAACGGCCCTAGAAGGACCAGAAACCTTTATACAGGGGGCTGCAGCGCGTTCGCTTGCCCTCCCAAGATGAGCTCCTACTTTCCCTGATGGCTCCTCAAGGCTCAAGGTGCCTTCAAATTATGAAGCTGCTACAACTTCCTCCCTCTCCGGGCAATCAAACGCAACAACCTCTTTTCTGTGACACAGATGGCCCACTTCAGGGCTTAGTGTTTGGGGTTAGCATTTGCGGTTTGGGTTTAAGCAGTCTAGGGGTTTAAGGTTCGTGGAGGCTTAGGGTTTGCGATTTTGGGTTCTGGGGATATACAAGCTAACTCGGGGCTTCTATGGATTTACCGCTGCGCTAGTCCAAAAACTTAGCACATACGTCAAACTGATGTCGGTGCAACCTACGCCCGTGTCTTTGCAGAAATTCTGGCTGTGGCCCTCTTCTATTTTCCCTGCGCACCAAGAAAGTAGACTGCCCAAAAGACCAAGTGACCTACACAATTTTGAGACCTCAAAACCCAGATTTGCAAAAACAAAATGCGGTGCTTCTTGTATGACCCTCAGAACGCTCAATGTTTTCCAGGCAAGGCTCATCCCAAAGGCTCACGGGATGCAGCGCCCTCGCTGCTGCAGCCGCTGCCCCCAGATCCTCACAGCCCTGAAGCCTCAATGGCTGGGGGATCTGAGGGATTCTAGGAAGGGGGGAGGAGACTTCGTGTCAGGTTTCTTCGGGGTCTTCAGGTGTTAGAACACCTATTGGGGATCAGAGCTGACGGTTTTGGATGTTCGGGGCGTTGGACACTCTGAGCGGATGGCATCATGCGGACACTCCCTCATGAGACCCATAATAGGAAGCCGAGGAAAAATATAAATACTTCCAACACCCCAGCCCAACCTTTGATCCGGAATGCCTGTCAGATTTTTGGGTTGAGACAGGCCTTGAGAAATCGGTGAGCACTGTAGGGACACCATGCGATTGGGCTCTGAAGGACGGGGCAAGAAGACAATGTCTGCCTAAAATCCACCCATGCCACAGGGATGGATGAAAGCTATCAATCAATTCTCAATGGATAGATCGTCAGCCCCTTCAAAACCCTCCTTGCGAGCTTATGAGCTTTAAAGCATGGAATCCCCACACATCTAGCCCCCGCATAAGAAAGCCGCACTGCAACAGGATCACACTCAGGATTATGTTGGTAAACGAATGCCAGTGAAGGGTCGACGCGGAGCCCTACCATAACACACTAAAAAAAAAGCCAGCAGAAGGATAAGCTTTACCCTTTTCGAGGTCTAATCGCCTCCAGCCAATGTTGGACACTGACTGCCTCCTAGCTCCACAGGTTCTGGGCCAGGAGCTAAACGTTCGGATTGTTCTCACAACAGTTGTCAGACTGCACGTTATCCCGACCAAGAGGTCCCACAATCTTGACACACCCAGATGTGATGTGTGGGAGAAGAGCGTGATGTGGAGGAGCAGGGTTGGAGAATGGCTCAGCTGAACGTTCATCTGAGCTGCTGCTTCACACGGCAGAGCCGACGTATGTTGGCAGCGATTAGTGTCGCGGAGTAAGCCTCAGGGCTTGAGAAATCATTGTTCAGGGTGCAATAGCATTCCCTTGTCAGAGTCTCAGAATAGACCAGGGCACATAACCATCCGTCGCGTGGTCTGCAGCTGTAGAGCCCAGCTCCTTCGGTATGAGAGGAAGAGGTGGAGGCAGGGTTGGGTTTGCAGCTTGTCGGGACTTGCTTTCAGGGTAAGGCTGTGAACAGTTGCTGCAGATTGCGGATGTTTCGTTTCCTCCAACGTGCAGCACCACCCCTGTATGGACCCTTGGCAGCGAAGATGCGGAACTGAACAAAGCTTCAGACTGGCAAATCAGAACTTAAGATGAGATGGAGGTTCAGGGCAACTAATTATATTTCCCGGTACGTGAACTTCCAAGAAAAAAAAGCCTCGCAGCAAAAAAGCTTGCGCCCTAAAGCGCAACGTCCTGAGCCCTGAACGCTAAAGATCAAAGTCACAAATCAGAAAGCCGAACTTGAAGCAAGAAGTGTACTTCCTACGTTGCTGCTACTATTGTCCGGATTGCAACTGCTTACAAAGTTGAGCACTTGAAGTTTGAACACTGAAGAACCTCCGAGAAGAACCCTGAACCGGGGCCTCATCCAACGGATTGATCTTTGCCTTGGGTTGAACAGTCTGAGTCAGAAAGCAGATTCCCTGTCCGAACGAAATCCAGCAGCAGAATTGCTCTTCCACAAAACCACAAGACATGAGAAGCGCACGCCCTTGCTTTCATCATCATTGCTTGGGTCTCATGTCGGGTACCACTCGAGGCTCTCTGGGATCCAGCATACTACTCTCATGCAGGAAACCATGGCCCCCACTAGCTGCAGTCACCCTGGGAACCAAAGCAAACAACAGTTTTTGGAATTGTTTGTCGTCTGTATTGGGCTCTGACAGACTTCTGATGAACATGTCACCATGAACAATACTGTTTCTTCAATATGGACCCACAAGTATTCCATGACAACTTACGTTCCTCATCGAAAAACCATTCGCTATCCACCTTCTATTTCGAGAATTAACTAGCCAGGAGTGATCCGTTGAAGTGAGTCTGGAGCAACTGGGATGTAGCAGTGTCCTACGATTTTGTTACACAGCAATGTTGGGCTCAAGCGTGATTCTCTAGCTCGTGGTTGTTGAGCTATGCAGCTATGCTGTATCATCTGAATATATCTGAATCCTGGATCATGAAGATCAGGCTGTCACACGGCAATGGCCCTTTGACCCTGAAGACCATAGGACGTCAACAGATATCCTGTGAGCTTGGCAGCAGCCACTACTGTAGCTTGACAGTGAACACTTCTGTTACACTGTCAAGCAGTCGCTTCGCAGCAAAAATCAAGCCCCACTGCAATATGGTCAAGGCAAGCAGTTTGTGGGAGGCTGCCAAACCTGATAAATGAAAGAAGAAGAGAAGGAAACTATAGCCAGCAGCGTTTCAACTGGAACCCAGTAGAAAGAAATGCCGATGTAAGAAGTGGTTTTGGCGGCTGAACCCAGTAACATTACATTCCTCTTCTACACAAAAAGAACCTATGATCTTGGAATATATATTGGGCACTACAGCATCAGAGGCTTCCTTCTGCAGGGGCACTGTGCCGGTTCGGATGAGACCGCCCATGTCAACCTCACGCGCAAAGAATGGATCCTCATACCCATCTTCCGATCCAAGTAAATCCCCAGGATCTGTAAGTGTACTGTGAGTAGATCCACTGACTTTGAATGAAGGAAGTACTGACATGGCATCAAGGTGTAGTTCGCGATACGCAGTTCCAACGCAGAAAAACTAGCCAAGATTGCGATATGATGGACATCCAAATGCACCACACATCTTGTGGGCTCAGGGGACATGGAGCAGCTTCCACGGTTTTTTGGGCGCAGGGTTCCGGGTTGAAAAGCTTCAGACCTTGATTTCTTCAGGGGCGTTGCTACTGATTGACCTCTTGCTTCGGACTGCACAAGGGCGTGAGATGCGGAAGGAGGCAAAGGTCCCAATTCACTCGGTCACGGGTTATTCTGGGAAATCGGAATAGGATGCTAAACAACAGGAAGCAGTTCAGGCAGGGAATGTTTCATGGTATACCCTCTCATCACTCCTGGCTACGAAGCTTGAGCTGGATAAGGGCATTTGGTGCAAAACAACATTATAATGTTCTGGATGATCCAACGATGAAGTCTCATCTTTTCGGGTTCGGGCCTCATGCAGCGAAGGAGTTCGAGGGAACTGGGTCTGGAGTGCGGGGCAAGAAGAACCCAGCTGGGACAAAACTTCAGGAATTTCCAATCAACCACTACCCTGGCTGCTACACATACTGAAGCTGCAGCGAGATGATCGCTGCTCAGCCTGATGCTGAAGGTTTTCAATGCGACCAGCCGCTGCATTGATGTAGATAGCGTTCGGGAAGTCCGCTTGCGCATCGGTGTCGCCCAACTTGAAGATGAGGTCAAGGGCACGCCTGAGGAGCTTTTTTAAAAGTAGCTCTAAGCTACGAGTCGATTTGGATCCTTCAGTGGGATTCATGGGCAAGGGGCTCCAAAGGAGCACCTGGAGCTCAAGTCTGAAAGCAAAAAGCTTGAATGGTTTTTGAGAGGATAGACATGATAGAACCATGAGAATGTCCATGTCCAGGGAACGTTATTGAGACACGCCCTGCTTAGGACGTCCAGCAATGTCTAGCAGCGTTTGAGCTGCCACGAGCACCGGCTTAGGAGGAATGCAGGGGCCTAAATAGTTTGAACAGGGTTCTGGATTATGTTTCTACAGGCCTCTGCAGGAAACGGAGCTTTCCCAGCATTGAAGCCGCCCCGTACGCACCTCCAAAACTGTGGAGAACGCCCCCTTCTGAGACTCAGGTGAGGCTCTGCTGGTAGTAGTTGTCGAGCAGGGCCCAGTCCATCAGTGATCCCGGGCACCAGGATGTCATGTTTGGAATCGAGGAGCTTGTCGCGCACTCCTCTGCGACATAAGAATCTTGGAAATTTGCAATGAGGCTTGCATAGGCTGACCGGGAAGCTCCGAATCCTGCAGCTTGAGCTCTAAGTCTTCAACATTGTGAACCCCATCTGAAACTCCAAACCCTTGTGTTAGAGCCACTAGCCAGGTTCGGTGCATCTTTCCAAGGAACCCAGGAGACAGTGAGGCCTCTACTGTGCATGGTCCTAGAGATGAGAGCGGGCACGGTCTGCCTCCGCATCCTTCAACAGAGAAACTGCCGCTTGGCGTCTGGATTAGCGCGCAGCTTTGTACTTTCCAAATCGTGGGAAGCCCGCCAATGACGCAACCCAACACCCTCTCATGCTTTAGCAGGCACAACAGGTCCGTCCTTGGTCCACTTCTTGTGCGTCCCAAACAGATCCGGGAGGAACTCCTGTGCGCGGTTTTGAGTTTAGGTTTTAGGGGTGGCTTACGAATTTAGGGGTTTTAGGGATTGGGAGCTTCGCGCGTAGATTTCCACACAATATGAGATCTAGGCATCGTGGAAACACTTGTGCAGCGTGTCTTATATATCTCGATATGCAAGTTTGAGTCTTTGCCCTCAGTGGCCACCTAAAGTGGATCAGACAGATCTTTTGCTGTCTGCGATCGGTGAGATTATTCTTGCAATCTTCCGGGAGAAGGTTTGCCCGACCTCAGAAAACCGTAACCTTGGCCCCCCACTCTGGGCAGTTCGGGGTATAAAGTTTAGGGTATCTTAAGCCTTTAAGCGCTCGCGCATCTGCCCTGCCTATTATAATGCAATACTCATGCCTTCAAGGCCTCAAGCACATTCAGTGCTGGCAGAGCCACCGGCTCCCAGCAAGTCTGAGCCTCCCAAGAACCTCTGCCACTATCAGCAAGCCATTACCTTGCGCTGCCCCAAGCAAAGCTGTAATACCTCCCCAAGCCCTGAAGCCGAACTCTGAATACCGAAAGCACTCAACCCTAGATTAGACCCCAATCCCCAAACACGAACGCCATAAACCCTGAATCGTGAGCCAGAATCACCAATGTGGGCCATACCCCTTGGTTGCAGCGGCTACGGTCCAGCTTCGCCGCATCCGTGACAGCTGTGTCTGCGGGACCACCTGACATGCTAACCTGAGCTCTTCTTGGAAGTCTGCGTTTGATAGGTTTCGTTTAGGGTTTAGAGTTCGGGATGTAGGGTTGGTTCAGGGTTCAGGGTTTTGGCTTACGGCTTCGGGCTTAGGGCTCGGGATTGGGATACTCTGAGGGTTGACATAGGGATTGGCTGGTGAAACGTACTGTGCGAGTGCTGTCAGGAGATGGAAGATTCTCAACATTATCTGAGACTTCCCGGCGTTCTGAGAACTGATGCGCCCTGGAGGAGTAGTTGGAAGAAACATCCAGCTGGGTGCGGTTGGGGTGGGTCTGTTATTTGGTCTCCGTATACTTTCTATCTTTAATCTCAATTGACCCTTTACATCGGATCAAGGCTGACACGGCTTGAACACCTTAGAACGAACTCTGCGTGCCCATAACTGTATATGTATATCTGTATACAGACAGAGAGAGAGAGAGAGAGAGAGAGAGAGAGAGATATATATATATATACATATATATGGGTAGTTGTCAAAATTATGGTCCCGTCCCGGATCCCTATTATAATACGGCACCTAATATCTAGGATACCCAAACAGGGACCATAATTTCGACAACCACCCATATATGTTATACGGACTTAACAGTTCCAAAGTGTGAAATAAGGGCACGTGGGTCTGTCAAGGAAAAGGGCACTAAAGGATTGAAATCTTGGCATGTGAAACGGTGAGACAACGTGGATCCCTGAGATGCATGCCGCAACCTCAGAAGCCAAGACCCATAAAAAGTATGCCGAGCAGCAAGCAGAAACTTGTTCTGAGCACGATCCTCCTGCAGTTTTGCGCTTCCTGCTTGCGAAGCAGGTAAGAGGGAGTCCTCAAGGATGGCACGGACATGCGGAGAATGCCAAGTGACTGTGTGGATTTTTGGTTGTTGAAAAATGCATGTTGCCTCGGGGACTATACGAGTATATGAGAAGATAATTGGGGTATCATAGGGCTCATAGGGATCTTCCTTCCAGATTATGCGGGGATGATTTGGAAAGAGACTACCAGGTTATGACAGGCCCGTGGACCCTAAACCCTGGACCCTAGACTGGTCTGTCCAGGCATGCTGAAGTCAGGTAAGGTCAACTGCCGACTTGAAACTTATTATCTCCAGCAGTATCAAGAGGGACCCCCTGATCCCAGTACCTTGCGTAAGCCTAGAATTGTGCTTGTATAGTCCCATCTGGTTAGGCATTCCCCACAAGCTACAGGGTCCTTCATTAGGGTCCTTCTGACTATCGGGCTTCACTTTCTGGCCTAATGAGATATATATATATATATAATTTTTTGCATGCACCAAACGCAACTTTCATGGGCATACGGGTCCATGAGTTGACCTGGGTGGGTAAGGCGTTACCTTACAGGCCTTACGTACCTCCATCAAGCGCTTGCCCAACTCTAGCAGAAAAATCCCGAGCTCCCAACCCTTGATCCAAAAACCCTAATCCAAGATTCCTGAGCGAAAAATCAACCCATGCCTCCACACGCTTAACAGCAGAATATTCAAATCCAAGCGATCAAGGAGCCCTAAGAACCACTATGATCCCTGTAGGCCTGATCTAGACCTCCCAAATACCCCCACAATCATGAGAAGAATAAGAAGGAGATAGAAAAGAACAAGATCAATATCATGGGTCGTTATCCTGATTTACAGCAAGTCTGGGGACACCAACATTGAAATGGAAGGAGGGGCTTGAGGCTGGAGGGAAGGAAGCATCAAAGGATGACCTGAGGATGAGCCTGGGAAAAGCCCGTTTACCACCGATGAGAAGTCCCCTCCCCCAAGGCCTTGAGGCCCCTCTCCACATGGTTGCACGGAAACTTTGCTCCCAATCCGTGCCTTGCTTCATGAAGTCAACAAACTTTTTCCCATAGCCGCCGCCTGCCATTCAGGACTAAAGATTGTGGTTGTTTAGGATCCTGGAGCTTGAGGCGCAATCACATGCTGATGGGGTTTGAGGTCTTGCGCAAAGCTACAGGCGCAGGGCATCTAGAAGAGTAGAACCTCCCGGGCTGGGCTTCCAATGGTGGATCTCCCTAAAAACGTACTTCCGCAGCATGGAGCATAAAAATCAATGACGACGCGTTGTTCGTCAATGCGAGTTTGGGCAATCCCTTTTCAGCGGCACATTCTGACAGCGCTACGCATCCACGCAGTTCCTCCAACCAACTAACCTAACGAAGGAGAAACACCCTCATCAATGTTGCACCTCTTTAAGCGAAGACCCTGCATACTATGTTTCGACGGCCGGTTCCAAAGTTCCAGTCCCGTGATAGAAAGCATGTGTTATGCGTTTCATCTTCGGGCAGAATCCAGTTTATGCCTTTGGAATCAAGACCCAAGGCCTTAAGAACCGGCGAGTGGAGAGTCAAGAAGGTCCAACATTGGCAACGTCAAAGGATCTAGTGGTAGAAGATGTATTTCAGAGCCTTTCCATCGAGCTGTCTACGCAAAACAACCCAAACAGTAATGGAACAGTAGGATGTTGAGAATGAGACAAGCGTCATCCGTTACAACCGTTTTGAGGGTTCACCGAGGATTCTTGCATTCTCGAGCTCAACATCTTCTTAGCAGCTGACTGGGTCTTGTGGCCACGCTTTCTGACCGGTTACGTCTTAGAGCCGGAGCATCCAACACGAAAGTCCCAAGTCATAGACACGGGCCATGATTGCAGTTGATACTACAACTGTTATGTCAGGAGACACTGTCAGTGAACATTCTAACCATTTGCCTTGCTCTTCTTCTGCTTTTACTTACTAACAATACTCTTATGTACCATTAACAATTAACAACATGAAGCTTGGATGCTCCTCCTCTTGGTGTTCCAGTAACACCTATGTTGTACCAGAAGGACCCGAAGCAGAATGGGAAATCCACAAGTAGTTTCTAGTGCGGGCTACCTGAAATTGTACTGCAATCCTAAACCCAAAGCCGTTGACCCTAAACTCCATACCCTCAACCCTCAACACCAAAATCTGGGCCTTTCAGCTGGTTGTCGAGGCTTCGGGCATCCAAAGCCTTTGGCGAGCTCCTGAAGTTCTGCTTTCGTTGAGGCCTAGAGACTCTAATCGTAGGCTTCATATTGCGCTTGATACTAAACATGCTGCATGACTTTACTACGCTATAATCCCAAATTCCCGAGATTAAGGGTTTGAGGGTAATGCAGGTGTTTTGCTATCCAGTATAGCTCTACGCATGGTCAAGCAGGAAACCGGCATAGTCAATCATATCAACTTCAAGCTGAGAAGGCCTATAGGGCATAGATTCTATTATAGAAGATTATAGGTCAAGGAACACTGCTCGCGTTTGGTGAGACATCCTACGTGCGTGAGCAGAAACCGAAGGGTCCATGAGGCCTGCTCTCGCCTTAACCCCATGGCTTTACCCAGGAATCCGTACTATGCCTTCCTGTTACGCCAGCGGTGCTTCGAGGATGAGCTCTACTCGTTTTGAAGGCAGCATATGACACTGGTCTTGTTAAGGGCAAGTATGTTCCCCCAACATGACTAACAAGCCCAACGACGGCTCTACAAAGGCTGCTGTCCTTTGCTCAGATGACCATGTCATCTTGCATGTTCGTGGGGGGCTGATCTGTGAGTTGAACATCCTCCACCCCACACACACATCACACTGAAACCGACGAGAATGAAGTATGACCCTCAAACCTTGCATGCCCAGGAAAAAGTTAGCCTGCACAGACTAATTCTGATGCAAAAGCGGCGCAAGCATATCGCCTGCCGATCTTGCTGTAAAACAAGAAACGCTGAGAGGGACCTTTCCTTGTCAAGGCTTGCTGAAGGGCATCGTCCAAAATGCCTCACCCCTGCTGTTACTTGATGATTCCATGTGCTTCGGAAACGGACTGCAAGCTCTCGTGTCCCGGTTGACTCCGCGTAGTCAGAAGCAAACCAAAGCAAGCGCCTTGGCCAGGTTGACAGGCAGCTTTCCTGTTAAGACTCTTAGCTATTGGTCAGAGTTTACTGTCTAGAGGTCAGGGGTTTCGAGTTAAGCGGTTTAGGCTTGAGGAACGGAGCTTCAGGGATTTAAAACTCAAGGGTTAGGGCTTTAAGGGTACTGTGAAGGTTTAGAAGGTGGGCCTAAGGATTCAAAGTTTCGGACACACACACACTCTCTGTCTTAAAGAGCACAAGCGGTACCTTATACTGCCCTGCTATAATCAACGGCATACCGGGGCATACCACTTGACAGAAAAAGAGCCCGAGCCAAAGGAAGCCAGAGCACTCCAAGCAGGGCGCTTCAAGTAACATGTCCAGATCAAAACCCGGAGCAACCAAGAAGACACCACAAGTGAAAGCCCGCGCGATTCGCTAAACAAGTTGCAGGGTCCGAGGCCATGCGGGAACTACCAGGTATGCACCCATGCCACTGCATCATAGCAAACACACCAAGAACTCAACAGACTCAAGAAAGACCGGAATGCTTCGAACGCAAAGAAAGGGATCCCTACGCAAACGAAGATCCCTGACTTAACTTAGCCCTGCCTGCCCTGGAAGGAAGAAATCCTTATTCCAGTCATGCAGTTACGGCAGCAAAAGTACCCCGAAAGTCTCGAGGATTCCTGGCATTGACCCGGTCAAGTCGAGAATTGAGAGAGCACTCTTCCATTAGCAGGTTGGGGAAATTCCAGATTCACACATCTTCAGGGCGATGGATCCAAATCCCTGTGCAATTTCTCTTTGGTTTTTCCAGGATGCGGAGGATTGAACAAGAAAGTCAACGTGGAACCATTTACGGCATTCCAGTCCACAAAAGAAACCCCTTGACCTTCAGGCTCTAGATGAACCCTTGTTTGCCTGCCTCCTTGCAAACAAGAGGAGACTACGAGCATTCTGCATTGGTGGGTGGGGCTCGGGAACTAAGCCCCGCAGTCATTCCATTCATGTAAAAAAGTCTGAAGCGCCAGAAGCACAAAATGAAAGAAACAGTTGACCTGATGGTCCCCGAACGTCCTACTGGCCACTTGGCCCCCGCCCTTGAGCAGGGCTTTTCTCAAAATCATCTGAATAAAAATCCCAATACTCCCACGACCCCTGTAGAATCCCACTTATCTGCGGGGTCCCACGACCCAAACAATTAAAGAAACTCCCAGTAGGACAGCTCAGTGGCTGGTTGCGGGTCTGAAGCTCGGCTACAGTGGTCTCATTCAAGCCTTCGCGCTATGGTTTGGCTTCTTCAACCGGGGTCGAAAATGCAGGGGACCTGAGGGGAGATGGACTCGCAGCTTTTGCTTTCATGCTTGAGGTTATGCAGATGACCAAACTTCCATGACCGAATCCCCGACAAAATCCATTCATCATCAGGTCGCTGGCCTCTCTGCAACTTTTTGGTTCCCAAGTACATGGCATGTGCAGTGTGATCTTTGCTCGATAACTACGCCCATACCCGTATCAGCTCAAGACAGATGGCCGAGATCGGCTACATGTTTTCTAGTGTTTTGGGAGTTTGGGCTTGTGGCGTGGCACAGATTTCAACATCTAGTGGGGATTCATGGTTCAGGGTGTTGGGACCTTGTCAGTTTAAGATTTCAGTGCTTAGGCTGCTCAATGCTTAAAGGTAGGGTTTCAGTGGGGATGCTCAGACAAAACAATCATGTTCATCCATTGCCTCCCAACGGCGTACATCAGAAATTACCGTTCAAAGGCCACCTAAACCCTCTGTACCCTATACACCCTGAACCTTGTAAAGTCTGACAGGCTTTGAAAGACAGAAGTCCTGTTTCCCAAAAAAAAGTACGGGGTGCCTTTCTGAGCGGTCCTTATCTTCAGGCTGTCATATTTTGGGGTAAACCACTTGCTTTAAAAACTACGAGATGGACTTCACACTCTGCAGGACGGGGCACTAATGTTCGCGATGAGGAGCTCGCCAAACACCTCCTCCACCTGTTTTGGAAAGCTAGGGTTCTATGCTTGATGTAACAAGGATTGGGGTCAGTGGGTCTGGTTTGACTTGCTTTCGTGGTAGCTTGATGGCTGTTGTGAGTCGCCTTGCATGTAACATGAGAAATATTGCAATCACAACCACTGCGGCTATACATCTTGCACTTGATCTTCCTGCAGCTTGGATTTGTCCATCACTATGCTGGCTGCTGTCCAATACATCCTTGATCATCCTTTGTGTTCCTGCCTATGGTCTGCAACCAGCCTGTATACATCTCACTACCATGATCAAACGTTGCCGATTTGCTCATCCTCTTTGTGCTGAGGTCTCATGCCTGCCCTGCACACTCGTGACTCACAGGATGTGCTGCTTGGTGCGTAAAATCAAAGCGAACAATGACAGATTAGCCTCGTTTCAGCACTTCGAAGTTGGAAGCAGGCTTGGAGGTGCCTATGGGCTTGGGCACAATGAATGCAGCTGCTGAAGTTTTCATCGCTTCGCATGTAGAAAATACACTCTTCACATGTGCTACTACCTCCTAAAACTATTGACAACAGCTGTGCGGAGTTCGTCAGCTTGGACGGCGTGCTTCCGTTTAACAAGTGGTTGGGATGTGCCATGCTACACAAAGGATGATGATTGGAGTAATAATCTGAAGCAGAGCCTTACGCAGAAGTTGTGGAACGAGGCGGACAAGGATGGAAGATGGCGAACTTCCATGAAGCACCAAGACGGCTACGACGAACGTCAACAAAGCTTCCCGTGAAACTCGCTCCAAAACACCACGATGCTGTTGCTGAGGATCCGGATGGAAAAAAAAATCAATGTTAGGAAACTGCAAAATTTCCTTAACGGGATCTTAGCATCTAAGTATGAATCACTAGAGTGGGCCCCGAAGTATAGATGAGATTGTGACCTAAATAGTTGCCGCTTTCTGCACAGGGGAGCTGAATATTTGGAATTGGGTCCCAAGCCTGCTTGAAGAAAGCCTGTCTTTCAGCCGGAGTGGTGCCCGGGTACCTTGCAACACCCGCTTTCGGGGTGAAGGAAATAGATGGTGCGTCTAAGCACCAGTATACCTCATAATGTTGACTATAAAGAGCGCATAGGTTATCACCTGGTTGTACCTGGCGTGGCTGTGGCCTCATGTTTCCACTTTAAGCCAAACTGAAGGAGGCTGCGGACCTACAACCTGGATTTGTTCAACTCTCCACAACGTTCTCGAAGTCATTCTTCGAAGGTCCTTTAGGCATTTCTAGGACGTGTACATACATCGCAAATTTCAGGGCATACCGTAGTTACACTTGTGTTAAAGAAGCACCACAGTCTAAACCCCAAACCATAAACCCTAACCCTTTCTAATACAGCCACGGCAATTCTGAGCTGAAGTCTTGAAGCAACTTAAGTGTCCTGGGCTGCCTGAAGCTGCGAGAGCTCGCTTTAGCTTGTTCCTGAGCCTTCAACCGCAACACAAGCTCTGAATCCTACATCCTTAACCCTGCCTAAATATATACTAGGCCTTAAAAACCGGTGAAAGCCTTCAAGCAGACGCCTCAGTTCTATCTGCCAGAAAGGGCATTTGACCTGTGCTGAAACATTACAAGCCCGTTATGTGTACTACCTCAGCAGGACTAGTCCCGACACACTAGAAGCAAGCTAAGCCCCAAACCCACTCCAAAAAGGACAAAAAATCTGTTGAAAGTTGCCGAGGACGCTGTGCCGTACCCGTAATAGCCTCGTTCCCGTGGCGGGAGGCCCAAAACACCACGATCTCTTTGGGATGAGAATCCATCCTCGGGTCATCATTATTAGTAACAGGATGATGACTCCGAGGCTTTTCCCACGACTACCCGCTGCAACTACCACCACCACCGCCGCACCACTACACCACCAACGCCGCCACCACCACGACCACCACTACCACCACTACCAACACCACGTCTGCTCCTGCTGCTCCTGCTGCTGCTGCTGCTGCTGCGTGATTACTATTGTTACTGTTATTCTTACCATTGTGTTACAATTTCTGAATAACCTGTATTCCATGGACCGTAAGAGAAACTGAACTATTCACAATTCTTGGGTTGGTAACGTTCCAATAATGTTTCAGATGGTACATGACGGACATCGTGCACCCGCATAGGTCCCCAACGTGCAATGCAATTACATGCATTTTTTTAGGTCTTGAGGATGTAAACTGGTTGACGATTCCATGGGATGCCAGGTTGAAAGTGGTTGGGGTTCAGGCTGCCTGACGGTCTACAGAGTCTACAGCCTTCGGAAGTTTTGGGTTCGGTTGTCTGTGGCCATGGCCGAGTTGGAGAGTCACGCTAAGTCCAGGCCAACGACAGAGTTGCAACCTGTGGCTTTGATGCCACATCTGTCCTTACGTCATGGAGTAAGTGATTTGGGTCAACTTGGCAGACACAGCATCTCTTCCGGCTCATCCCTGTCCAACTGACTTGACAATGCTAGGACTACGATGTAGACTTCAGCCACCACTACTGTGTGGGACTTAGTGCGAGGGAGTGCGAGGGAGTGGGAGTGAGTATCAGAAACAAAGAGAGTGGAAAGGGAATGCCCTAGATGATTGCCGATGTTTGCCGTAAAGAACCCACGATGACCCTCAGTGTGCCCTTAGCAACTCACTGTTAGCTGTAGATCACTGCAGGCTTCGCGCTTGGTTTTACAAGTCTCTACGTGCCATCGCAGGCAGGAAGCCAGGAACGGACGTGGCGCAAATAATCGATGGCTTTGTGCTTCGATTCCTTGAGTTGGGTTCAGTCAAGCGATCTTCTTGAGTGGAGGGGTGTGAGGTACAGATGTCACAAATGCAAGCTGTTCACACAGATACATGACTTTGGGCGCCGCAATGTTTTTTTCAACACAACTGCCGCGAGCATGTTAGCATCCTATCTGCAACTTCAGGACTCACCAATGTAGGCCACCCAACACAGAAGGCCTGGAAGGCCTTCACTTCGGGGGGAGATTTTGTAATGGTGGTCTAAACGGACACTATGAAGCACATACTCTCACCAAATGCCATCGAGCAATGGCCCTCAGAAGAATACCAGGAAGAAAAGAGATAATGGTAAGTAATACTACAATTAGAAGATAACTCGACCCCGATTCCCACAAAAGGTATCCTGAAAGTGGAAAAAGGTGGATCCACGTACTACGTCATTTACTGGTAAAGTCGTTGAAGCCCCCAAACCAGGGGAGTGCTTGTGCAGAACAACCCGCAGTACGCAGCTGCTTGTCTTCTCTCTAGGACCTGATAGTCAAGCCAGCTTTCTTGGCGAAGTCTTCTGATTTCATCCATGTGCGCTGTAGCTTTTCGCTTAGAGCTCTATCCTGAACTTAAATTTTCAGTTCCAGCTATTTGCAAAGCAGATTCTCCACAAGCGGCACCCTGGCCAGTAGACCCGGTCTACTTGCTCACTTTCTGTGTAGCTTGCCATGCAGCCCAGTTGAAAGGTCGTCAGAACATCTCACATCCTTCCCTCCCCTAGTCAAAGAATGTCTGGGCTGGAAATTACACTGTCAAACAACACTCATGGACCAACACTCAACTTAGCTTGGGCCCGAATCGTCTGGAATCCCGTCCAAGCTTCACAGCCATGCAGACAGTACCAGTCCTCTGCAGAAAGTCTTCAGTCTTTAAGGCTCAGATTTTTCGAGCAGAATAAAACTGGATTGAGCTGCCTGCACTTCTCGTGCAAGGTTGGGATGAAGTCGGCCAAGCAAATTCGGGTTCTTTCTTTTGCTGGATCTTCTTCACCGGCTTGCGTAGTCAGGAGAAGTATAAGGGAAAATCTGGGTTCGCTTGGTCTTCCTCACTCCTAGTAGAGAAAAACCACACGGAAAACACATCCGAGCGGCCTTCGTGCCAACCAGCCGGTCTGGGCCGACGCTGTACCTCCACACCAGAAAATGATCAGGACAATCGACAGGGAGTGCCGGCCGGTGATGGTGCTGGTATCAACAGCAACTCAGTAGCGCAGTGAGGCAGCAGGAGCAGCAGGAGTGCGGTTGTTTTTGGAAGAAGAGCAGCAGGCAGCGGCAGCGGCAGCAGCAG